TGTAAATAAAATGGATATATAAATAAAAAATAAATAAGACCCTATTAATATGTTAACAAAAATACTTTTAATTATATCTTATATGTTTGCAATACCAGAGGAAAATCCCAAGTTATCAGTTAAGAAAGAAAGTAAAAGTAAAAATCCGAAATAAAGAAAGAAAAAGTTGAATCTAAAAATAAAAAAGGATCTTCAGATAAAGAAAATGTAAAATCTATAAACAAAAAAGGTTTGAAAAAGAGTGATGCAAAAGAAGAAGATTCGATATCAACAGCAAGTGATAGTGAAACTAAAGAAGATAAGAAGAAATCTAAAAAGAAAGCTAAAAATTCAATAAAAAAATCAAAAAGTAAAGAAGATGAAGAAGATGAAGAAAGTAATGGAAAGAGTTGGTTTGCTGAACACGGTGCATTAGCAATTATTTTAGGAGTAACATTTTTAGCATTAATTTGCTTGCTAATCTATTTCACATGTTGTTAAATAAATGATGTTTTAGTATAAATTAAAAATTTTTTAATCAAATATATAAGTAAATTTAAAGCTTTAAATAGTATATTTTTGATCAAAAATTATTTTAATTTTAATTATTAAGTAATTATTTAGTTAAAAATTTTATCAAATTAAATTTAAAAAAATAAACAATAAATGTGTTTGTAGTAACTCTGTTTCTACAAAGGATTCGTTTTAAAAAAAAATTTTTTTAAAAAAAATTTAATCATAAATTTGTTCTAAATTTTAACCCCAATATTCAATGAATAAATTAGTAAACAACAACACTATTAACAACGCAACAGATACAAGTAAGATTAAGTCTTAGTTCACACAATATGTCATCACGGGTCGTATCCCTAGGGTAAAACACGGCAGTGTTAATTATAAATTTGAAAATAAATACAAGTATTTTTAATAGCTTAATAAAAAAAGATTATAAATTTAATTAAAAAATTATAACATTAATAAAGATTTTAAAGAAAATGTCACGATCCAGATTCGAACTGGAGACCTCACGCATGTGAAGCGCACGTGATAACCACTACACTACCGCGACTACTAATAAATAAATTATTTAAATTAATATTTTAATATAAATAAACAACATGATAATCTTATCGATTGTAATCTATTCATATAAAGTCCTTTGTAGTGATTTAGAAGAAAATAAAGTAACTGATAAAAAGACTGATAATAAAGAGAAAATCTTTTCATCATATAAAAAGGAAAAAGAAAGTATAGATAGAAATATTAGTAAGCAAGATGAGAATGACAATAAAGTAGATGTAAAGATAGACACACCTAAAGAAAGAACAACTAAAGATTTAAAAGAAAGTCAAATAGCATATAAACAGAAGATTGATGATAATAAAAAGCATAAAAATATACCCAAGAAAGAGAATGAAAAGCCTATAAAATCCAATCCTGATATTTCAGAATATAGAAAAAAAAAGCCTGTACAAAATCTTATAGAAAGTGTAAAACCTGATAAGAATTCACTTAAAGAAATACGCAATAAAGTATTAGATCTATCAAAAGATACTAAACCGAAAGTAACAACTAAAGTAAATGAGAAAGATGAAGATCCTGTCAAACAAATACTTAATAAAGAAAGTTCAGATGCAAAATCTAAAATTAAAGATGTTATGAAATCTTTTAATAAAAAAGTAGAATCAGATGAGAAAACTAATTCAATTAAGGAAACTCCTAAAGAAGTTAAAACTAAAAATACGAAAACTAAAGATACTAAACTTAAAGAATCAAAATCCAAGAAAACAAACGATAGCGATGAAATGGATTCTTTGTTTGAAGATTCAAGTGAAATACGTTCATCTAAAAAGAAAAAATTACCAAAACAAAAACCAGCAAGAAATAGAAGTATTTTAAAATCTGAGAAGAATAAAAAGAAAGACAATGATAATGGAGGATTTATAGCACTTGCTGTTATTCTGGGTATTGTAGTAGCTGCTCTTATTGCATTAATATCCTATCTTTTGAGTTAAATAAAATTTTAAATAAATCTAATTAAAATTATACTATAAATAAAATTTTTTAAAATGGTTTAAATAATTAACTAAAAAAATTTTGTTTGTTAAAAGAAACAAAAATATTAGTAAATAAACTAATTAAAAATTAAATTGTAATAAAAGTTTATTAGATTATTTTAAAATTTGTTTCTTCTTTGAATCCTTCAATTCCTTTCTTAACAGAATAAGCTTCATAACCTTCCTCTCTTAGACGTAAAGCAAAACTTGGACTACTCCTACCTTTATAACAGCTAATTATAAGAGGACCATTTATATTTTTCTGTTTAATTTCTTCTAATGATCTTAAATTAAGAGATCCCTTTACTCGATACATTTGATAGTTAACAGGGTCTCTTATATCAATAATTTTATAACGATTCATGTTCGATAAAACTTCAGCCCAGCTTTTATTATACTTATTTATGTCTACATTTGAATTAAAACTATCACTTCTTCTTAGTTGGAAATTTGTATTTTTAGCTTGTTCTATCATTAAAAAAATACGAATTAAAAAAATTTATTTCAAAGTTTCATCTCTGTAAATATTTTATTTTTGATTGATTTGTTTACAAATTTTACATTTATTAACTTTAATTTGAGATATTTTTGTAAAACTATTATTAGTTCCTTTATAAAATAAAGAGTATGATTTTTTTGGATCGTTAATTATCATTTTATAAACTTCTGTTGCTTGTAAAGAACCAATGACTCCACACATTGATCCAATAACACCACTAGTTTCACAACTACAAGCATTTGATTTTTCTTGCGGGAACATACATCTATAACAAAATATTTCATCCGAGGAATATTTCAAAGGTAAAACAAACACCTGTCCTTCCCATTTAAGAACACTTCCACTTACTAAGTTTATCTTATTAACCACACAAAAGTCGTTTATACAATATCTTAATCTTATTGAATCACAACAGTCAATTACAATATCATAATCCTTTAAAAAATTAATATTGTTTTCAGTTAATTTTATATTATATTTGATTATTTTGACATGAGGGTTCATTTCACTGATAAATTTAGCAGCTGACTCCACTTTACTATCACCTTCATTTTTATGTAAAACTTGTCGCTGTAAATTTGTTATTTCTACTTTATCAAAATCAATTATTCCAATCTCTAAAATGCCAGTATTAGCTAAATACATCAAAACAGGACATCCTAATCCACCCATTCCAATAATAACTATTTTACTATTTCTTAATTTGATCTGATTTTTAATACCAACACCTGGTACTATTATCTGTCTAGAATATCTATGTTCATTATAATTTATATCAGATTCATAAAGTTTTTCTTCTAACATAAATAGACTTATTTTATCAAAAAATTTTAAAAAATTTGTTTGTTTTTCCCTCCAAATGATTTAATTAAAAATTCACATAAACCCTAAAAATGAGATCAAATGAAGATAAGTCTTTTAGTTTACAATTTAATCCAATAGCTAATGTAAAATCAGTAAAGGAATATGAAGAGGAAATAAATACACTTAAAAATGAAGTGTTTGAACTTAAAACACAAATTACACATGGCACAGCAAATGTTCCTAAAATTCTCTATGAAAATAACTTGAAAGTTACAGAGTTAGCTCAAGAAAATAACAGACTTAAAGAAACAATTAATAATTTACAAAACGCTATTAATAACTTTGAAGGAGAGAATACAAGGCTGTCTGAACAACTTAAGAATGTTGAGTTTGTTTATAATGAAAAGATAGAATTATTGAGAGTTGAAAATAGAAAATTGATTGGAAGAATAGAAAAATTAAACAACAACGCAATTGAATTAAGTCAACTAAAAGGAACATTAAGTGAGCAGAAGGGAAATTCAGAACAATTAAAGAATATTGTTATCGAGTTGGAGAAGCAGATAGAAATACTGAAAATAGAAAAAGAAGAACAAGATAATGAGATTTATAGTTGTCAGAGTAAAATAAGAGCTTTAGAACTGGAAATTGATGAAAAAAATATGAATAAAACATTAGAAGATGAATGTTATAAGAGAAAGTTTGAAAATGAATTAGAAACTAATAAGAGACAAGAAAGGTTTATAAGTGATTTAAAGGAAAAGATTAATCAGTTAGTTAATGATAAGAACAGAATAGAAAGTGGAAATCATTCAATTGAGAGACAAAGACAATTAATAGAAACATTAGAAAGACAAAATAATTTCTATTTTACAAAATTCTATGAAATTTCAAATAGTATGGGTAACATCAAAACTGTCTTTTTAAATAAAGTTAGTGAATTTAAGGTTAAAACTGATCAATTAGAACAAGTAATAAATAACATCAAAAAGAGTATGATTATAGAACCAGATAATATAAGAATTCTTAGAAAACTGAATATTAGAGAAACAAATATAAATAAGGTAATGAGTTGTATGAAAGATATAATAAATTCAAAGACTAAAGAAATACATGTACTTGAAACAGAGTTAAAAGACACTTCAACAGTATTTAAATCAGGGCATGGTAAATTAATAGAGAATTTAAAATTGCGTATTAAAGATGGGCTTAAAGAATTAGAAACGTGTAGAGAATATCTTAAAAAAAAGTCTGATGAAAATAAAACATTAAAGACTGACATTAGCAAACTAAAAAATAATCAAACTAAATATCTTAAACAGATTGATAATGCTAAGAAATTTTATGAAGGAATAAAAAATAAATACGGAAGGGAAGCATTGAAAATTAAAATTTAAATAAAATGAAGTTTTATAAATAAAATTTTAAACCCATAATAATGATTGATAAAGGATATGCAAAAGAAAGTTATACATTTGGAGAGAATGATAAGTTAATAGAAAACATTATGGATAAAGTTATTAAGACAGGAACCACAATCGTAGGTCTCAAATATGCTACTGGTATTGTTTTATGTGCAGATACACGTTCTACTTCTGGGCCAATAGTAAAGAATAAAAACACTGAGAAGATACATTATATTGCACCTAAGATATATTGTTGTGGTGCAGGTGTGGCAGCAGATACAAGAAGAGTAACTAGAATGGCATCTAAAGAACTCGAATTATTCAAATTCAAATATTTAAAAGATCCGCTTGTTTCTCATGCTCATAGAACTATTGTTGATTATCTGTTTAAGTATAATGGCGGTATTCAATCAGCACTGATTTTGGGTGGAATAGATTCGATTAATGGAGTGAGTTTAATTAAAATATCACCTGATTCACACAGTAAAAACATATCATATGGTACTTTGGGTTCTGGATCATATGCAGCATTAGGTATACTAGAAAGTAGGTATAGAGATGATATGAGTATAGAAGATGCTATGGAATTAGGATCAGATGCCATTAAAGCTGGTGTATTAAATGACCTTTATTCCGGATCGAACGTTGATTTAATTGTAATTGATGAAAAGTTTGTTGATTATCATAGAAATTATTTAGTAGTTGAGAAAAAAAGGTCTCAAGAGGTAATCTCCTACCCAAAGGGGTCTATTCAAATCTCTAAAGAGGAAATTTTTAATTTGATAGAAGAAATTTAATAAAACTATTTTAGACTTTAATTTTATCTATGATTGATTGAACAATTAAAATTATACTTTAAATTTATTAAAAAATAAAGTGTTTTTAAAAGTAAAATAAAAATAAGATATTAGTTTAAAGTTTTAATAAGACAAACTTATTAATTAAATTTGTGTAGGTTTTGACCAACCTTATCTATTTAGAACACGTCCTGTATCAGCACCCTTTTCACTCGTTCTTAACCATGTTCGTACTTTGTTAGATACTCTCTAGTTGTTTTAATATAAATTTCTTTATAATAACAGTTTTCTGTAAAATCTTTGACAAACATTTAATTAATATTTAGGTTTTAATTAAAAGATTTCTTGTAAATCTTATTTGGGAGATTTGAAAGCTGAGAGTTGAACATTGAATTAATTTGTTTAAACACTAAAATAATTAACTCGGATAACAAGAATATTTTTATATTTGTAGGAAAATAGTTTAATTTACTTTAAAATTATTATTAGAGCCTTTTAAATTTTAATGAAATTTTTATCTATCAAAAATATTATGGTATTTTTAAAGAATAACAAAGATACTGATGATAAAAAGAGTTGAGTGTTTCATTAAGTGAACACAGTTTACTTTACGAAGATAAAATACAAGAACTATACGAGTGTAAACTTCGAGAAAACTGGTTTTTATACGACATAATTTGAATCTTTTGATAATAATAGATAATAAGAGAATTAAGCTCGATAATGAAGGAATACAAAAATCGGTAGACTTGTTCAAATAAAGAAAGGAAAAGATTTTATGTATTTGTTTGAGTTTCTTAACTTTACACATCATTCATTAAAAAAATATATAATAAACTGCTATCAATTACTAATAAGCTTTCTTTAAATACAAAATTTAATTGAGTAAAAAAGATGAAGAAATGATTTAAAAATATTAAAAGTTTGTTTTCATAATTTTAAGAAATTATTTGTTTTATTTACAGGTTCAAGTGACATAATGATAAGATGTTTAATTTCTCAAAAAGAAGAAATATAAAAAATTGAATCATTATTGACCTAATTATACAATCATAAAAAAGGGTTTTTAGTTATTATATTTGTTGGATGGTATATTTGTAATTAGTAAATTATCTGTGAATAACAATTAAATATGAAACTGTTTCATATTTTGTTTTGAAATATATTTAGCAAATAAAAGGGATTATGGGAAAACTTTCTAAAAAGAATAAAGCAAATGAAGATGAAGAAGCCACACCTACATTTGGCGACGTCGTAAACGTTCATAAGAAACTTACTTTGTTAAACAATTTAGAAAAAAACATGCCTATTTCAACAAATAATTTTGAATTATTTTATGGACTTAAGAGTGAAAATGCCAATCATTGGATTCTTCAATTTGAAATAAATTAGAAACAAGTATCAAAGGAAGAGATATTACTTCTTCTAAAAAGCAATCTAAGGGAGATGTAGACTTGTGGTTTAAATCATTAGAAGGAGTTGAGATAACTGATTTTGAATTATTCAAAGAATATTTTATGGAGGAGTATGGCGAATTTAATAATTTAGATGATCAATAAATTTTCTGGAAATTACTGATTCAAGGTCCTGAGAATGATAAGCTAATGATTTTCATAAGGAAAGTAAAAATTGAAGTTGAAAGTGTAATTTAGAATTTTAATTTACACATGACAAAGTTTATAAGTATTTCTAAAAGGGATATAGATAAAGTTAAGAATTGTAAAAGTTAGAGCAAGTTAGTTAAAATTTAAAAGAAGATGATAAAAATCATAAAATATAGACACCAGAAAATATGGGAATTAAAAAATTAAAAATGGTAACAACAAAGATAAAAATCAAACAGAAACCACTCAGAAAAATGATTTGAAACTTGAATGTTATAGATGTGGGTATTTAGGCCACATAAGAAAGAATTATAGAGTTAAAGAGGCTAATTTAAAGAAAAACAGAGATGTGAAACCAAATAATGGAAAAGGTACTTGTACCATAAGCAAATGAGGATGAAGAAACGACACCTACAATATTATCATTAGAAACATCTAGAAATGTCATAAAAGGATTCAAAATAAAATTATTTACTGATAATAAGAAAAACATATATTTAAAAAATAGCGATATAAAAGTAATTTAAAGATGAAGTTAGTACTGAAAGAATATAATTTAGAGATAAAACATGTAGTAGGTAAATATAATCAAAAAGTCGATTTTTAAGTAGGGCGTATGTAAATTAAGTAAAAAACAAATTTTAACGATTTTTTGGTTATATTAATAGGGAACAGTATGTAGAAGAAAAACATTTAAAAATATTTATCGTGCCTGCCTTAATTATGTTGAATAAAATTGGGAAACTAAAAATTTTTATCCGTTAATTTCATGAATAAATAATTATTAAAAAATAAATGTATTAGATCTATTGTTATCAATAGTTTCTTAAGAGATGACTTTAAAAGCATACCTCTTACTCTTACATAAACACTAAGTTATATGGTAATGCAGTGGAACACAAGACAGTGTTGTAGATAATAATTATAAAATAATCAAGGATGTATTGATGGATAAAAAAAAATAGAATAGTTTATTTAATTATTTAATTTAAGTAATTAAATAGTTCATCAAGTTTATTGCTCATTTTGGTATACTTAAACTGCATGAGTGTATTGAATCTATGTAAAAAATTCTTAATTTTCGTATTATTAGTAATTTGTAATTAATTGTGATGAATATAAGAAAAACAAGTTTTCAAGTAAATCATATGGTAAAATCAGAGAAGATTTTGTCTATAAAAATCCATTTGATACCATTCACATAAATCAGTTTTATTCTGTAAATTACAAAAGCAATATTTTTATATTTAAAA